CACACACACACACACATATATATATATATATATATATATATATATACACAGTGCATTCGGAAAGTATTCAGACCCCCTTCACTTTTTTCGATTTTGTTAAGTTGCAGCCTGATACTACAATCGTTTAAATAATTTTTTCCCTCTTTAATCTACACTCAGTAGTACCCCATAATGACAAAGGTGAAAACAGAATTTTAGAAATGTCTGTAAGTTCATTAAAAAGAACAATACTGAAACATCACATTTATCAAGTATTCAGACCCTTTGCAACAAATTTAGCTCAGGCGCCTCCCATTTCTCTTGATCGTTGCTGAGATGTTTCTACACCTTGTTTTGAGTCCATCTGTGGTCAAATAAACTGAATGGACATGATTTGGAAAGGCAAACACCTCTGAATACTTTCTGAATGCACTGTGTATATATACTGTATATAACACGTTCTGTCATGAAACTCTAGATGGCGCAGGCTGATGGGTCAATGTAACTGATGATATTCTTAGCATTAAACGACTTGTCACAAGCTGATTGGTTCATGTTGCATACGCAGCCAATGAGCTTGCTGCTTAACATTTAAATGGCTGATTAGTATTCGCTTGAGCATTGCAGCGCGCTTTCAGAGTTCCTCTGAAACCCTCCACCTTCCCCAGCTCCACCTGTATAGATCTGCTACGGGTTATTTATATGCTATTTGTGCAGCAGCAGTATGTCTTAAATACTCACAGCACCATATTGGCTTATGTATTGACAGTAGCAAGTTCCTGTACTTGCTTGCAGCAGCAGCAATAATCTACAAATACAGCAATAACCAACAGCAGCAGCAATTCAGCAGCAGCGTAGCAGATCTGTTCCGCTAAGACCAAATACATTAACATTGTCATATCCATCACCGTGCTAAAATCTTCAGAGTTCTCATGACAGAAATATATATATATATATAATATTTTAAAAGTAACTTTCTCCAACACTGTATTCAGTTCATTTGCGTACATTCAGAAAACTTTTGCATTAAATAACATTCATTTGCATACATCAAATGCTTACATTATATTCATTCTAAGCTGATCAGAAATATTTGTAGGGCATATTCAGTAGTTTCTTCAATTTAAGCTTAATCACATTTTCAATTAGTAAAAAGCAGACACAAGATGCTGTTAAAATCATAAACTTTATTGAACTGAATATTCATTCAAATTATGTTAAAATCATTAGTGAACCACTAACAAATCAAAATAATGAAACAACACTACCACTGCAATTAATAATAATAAAAGCATAACAATACACTCACTTTAATAAATCCATTTTATTTTTTTCCCCATTCATCACACTTTCACATAAAAAACAAACAAAGAAGAAAACCACTACTCATGAAGTAGAGAAAAATGAATAAATGTTAATATTTGGAACATTTTTCACATGAAAATGGTCAGATGCATGTACGTGTGTTAAAAGAGCATATTTTCTTATTGTGAAAACATTCATCCTTTTAGGTGTGTAAGAGTGAATCAAGTGCTTTAGGATGTAGTAATGAGTGCCTTGCTGCAAAATATTCCTAGCAAAATGCTTTTCATAAAGAAGGCCTGACTTCTGAAGCCACAAATATGTTCAGACCAGAAAAACACAACTTTAAACTGCCACTGGAAAAGTCAAGACTGATAAGTAGCATAATTTCATGATTATTGTGTATTTTGATGATCATTTGATCATTGTGATGAGTTTGTGCCCCTTCAATCACACAAGAAAACATTTTAAATGGCAAATAATACTATGGGTTTGTTAATATGCATTTCTCTCACCAGTAGAATCACATATTTCCTTCTGAGCAGTACTTCTACAAAAATGAATTTGGAATGTCTATTTTTGTACTTCTACTGTACATTCTCAAGTTGATATATGTGTTGCTTTTTAGTGATTGTTTTGTTCTTATTACATTTCTGTTCTGTTTTGTTAGGTACAAACTCTGGATATAAAGCAAGCACTCTATCCAAGCACTTCATTTGGTCATTGAAGCAATAAAAGCACAGAAGTGAATATTTAATACTGACGTGGGCAAGAGGAATATATGAACTAAGGGGTTGTGTGTCATTCAGAACACACTTGAGAATGCCTTTCAAATTACACTTTTCATTTTAAAATGCAGAATTAAAATGATATAAAAATCATGACTGCTTTTATACATTCTATATTATCATTCCATAATAATATTGATTTAATTCATTCATTTATTTTATATATACACACACACACACACACAAAATGTGTTAAATAATATCCTGTGGGTCATGACCAATGCAATTAAAAAAATTCACATTCATGAATTGAAAAGAAGCCAGTTGTTAAACTCCGAATTCTGCTCAACCCTGTATTTGTAAATCTACAGAAAGCAAAAACAAGGGCTGCAAAATCAATCCATCAGGCTAACGTCTGAAATCCTTTTATATCCTAACCTATCCTTATCCTATAAAACAGGAACACTATATATATATATATATAAACATTTCCATCCATCAAGAACAAAAGAGGATAGAACCAAAACAGTAAAGGTGCTTTAAAAGGCAATAGCAGCAAAATAGGGAGGAGGGAGAGAAAACGACGATAGGAAAGAGGGAGCGAGTGACACTGTTTGATCAATACATCCTGCGGAAGAGGAGAAGTATTGATCACACCCACAATTCACAATCCATCATCACTTAAGAAAAGCAGGATACATTTGCCATGCGGGATTAATACGTCTCATATCCAATATTCAGTAAACTCTCACTAATGTACAGTAGCTCTCTTTGGAACAGTAAACTCTCACTCGGAATCATCAGCTGTTGCCATGGCAATTGTTGCTATACCTGTATATTGTACCACTGGTATATGCGTTGGTAAAATTGGTGTTAAGATGTAAGGAATGAGAGTGTGCAACATGTGCATCTTGAGTCTCTAGTATAAAGCGTACTAATTTCCAAATGATCAGCAATAGTTGATTTACTTAATTGAAATATTGATCTGCTTTTTCAAATATGAGTCAATGACAAATAAGACTGTCCACCATAAAGAAAGAAAGAAAAAAAAATCTAATTTAAAACACATGGCAAGTTTGTATTATCTGTATTGATGTA